GCAACGCAGTTTATGCAATAGCCGGGGGCCTATGGGACCCTGGGGTCCCGCCATAAAGTTCATTTGTAGAACCACAAACTCACATAGAGAACCACAGACTCCCATAGAGACCCACAGACTCACATAGAGACCCACAGGCTCACATAGAGACCCACAGACTCACATAGAGATCCACAGACTCACATAGAGACCCACAGACTCCCATAGAGACCCACAGACTCCCATAGAGACCCACACACTTGCATAGAGACCCACAGACTCGCATAGAGACCCACAGACTCACACAGAGACCCACAGACTCACATAGAGAACCACAGACTCCCATAGAGACCCACAGACTCACATAGAGACCCACAGACTCACATAGAGATCCACAGACTCACATAGAGACCCACAGACTCACATAGAGACCCACAGACTCACATAGAGACCCACAGACTCACATAGAGACCCACAGACTCACATAGAGACCCACAGACTCCCATAGAGACCCACACACTCGCATAGAGACCCACAGACTCGCATAGAGACCCACAGACTCACACAGAGACCCACATACTCCCATAGAGACCCACAGACTCCCATAGAGACACACAGACTCACATAGAGACCCACAGACTCACATAGTGACCCACAGACTCACATAGAGACCCACAGACTCGCATATAGACCCACAGACTCGCATAGAGACCCACAGACTCGCATAGAGACCCACAGACTCGCATAGAGACCCACAGACTCACATAGAGACCCACAGACTCACATAGAGACCCACAGACTCGCATAGAGACCCACAGACTCCCATAGAGACCCACAGACTCACATAGAGAACCACAGACTCACATTATGATGCATAGACTCTCATACATATCCAGACTTACATAGAAACCCACAGACTCACGCATAAGACCACAGACTCGCATAGAGACTCAGCCTTTCAGACTTGTGTATACTGACTGAATTGTGATTAAAAGGGCTTCTTCAAGTGTGACGAGTTGGTGGTCTCAGCGGGATCACCAATGATAGCACAAAGAACACGTAATACTCCTTTTTTGTTTTGCACTTAATTTGGTTAAAGGCCAGGGCTACGATTTGAAAATACAGGCCCTGTTGCTTAACCAATTAGCGGCGCATGTGCAAATTCCACTCCGTAGTCTTTACATAAAACGATGACTTGAAGGATTCTCAGATGCGTTTCTTTTATATTTACTTTCATGGCCCAATCTCCAACATTGGGACATGCACTTCTCACGGTGAGGTTTTCCAAAATTGACTTTTTTTTTAATCTCGTGGCGTGACGGCAATAGCATAATTGTAAAAAGCCATGGAAGACAACACGAGGGACTCTAACTTGCATGCGTTTCTTGATCCACGTATTTCCTCTCTCCATCTCTCAATGGAAGTCCAAAATTGCTGCCACTCTGTGTTTGTTTTCACAATTTTCAGCATTTGTTTAATTTTGTTTCGTCAAGCGTCCATGCTTACTCATCCATGTATCATAACAGATAATATGCACTGATTAAAATGCGTTCTTGTTTAGGCACGTGTGTGTGTGTGTTGCTCGTGTGTGTGTGTGTGTGCGCGCGTGTGTTTGTGTGCGTGCGTCAAGAGTGTTGTGGGGCAGAATGCTCGTGCGATTGCGTGACATACCCGCATCAAGGTTTAATTTTGCCGCGTTTCGCCGGTGGCCAAGGTAGAATGCTTTTACCTGTGTGTGTTTGAGAGCGAGCGTGCGTGCTCGTGCGGAGTCGTGGTGCAGTGGTTTTAGCGCTGCGCTACCAATCCGACAGCTGGAGTTCGATTCCCACTCAGGGCCAACGCCAAGTGACAGTTATCTTAACGGGTCATGGGGCTTCCCCAGGTCGACTCGGCCTCAAATGAGTACCTGGTGCCACGTCTAAACATCGCCACTAGGGGTAGACGAAGACGGCCGGGCGTGGTGCCGGCCGCCCACTCCCTCGTGCGTCATGCCGGCCTTCATAGGTGCTCGCGAACAGCACTTGCCCGAGAAGTCTGTTGAAAGCTACACAGGGATCTTTGTTTTCTTGTTTTGTGCCTGTGCACTTGTGCTTGTGTGTGCGCACTAATGTCTCCTAATGAACCCTAGACATGTACCGTACAAGCAAGTGCTGTTTGTGAGCGCCTATTAAGGCCAGCACAGCATTTAGCGGGCTAAGTGTGACCGGCACCATCCCTGGCCGTCTCTGTCCCTCCAGTGCTGATGTTTGCACACTGCCCTAGGTCCTCGGTAAGGCTGAGCTCACCTAAAGATGGCCCGAGACAGGTTGGTAATCCACTAGTCAGGAAGCAGTGGTGCGAGCAATGTGTTACAATCCTTATCCATATTTGTTCTAGTTCTGATAAACCGGGTTCAATTTCGATGGGATGACATCAGTTAGCATTGAATGTATATATATAGGTAGGCTGACCCAGCCTTCGATGAGTGTCCGGCGCGGTGGGTAAGCGTTGGCACTGGGGAGACGAAGGCAGCCAAGGACCGTGGTGCTTGGGGCCCTGTCAGCCTTTATAGTTGCTCGCTAACAGCACCGTCTTGTGCGGCTAAACAGGGATCTTTTGTGTGTTTTTTTTTCTTTTGTCTGTGTGTGCCGCACGCACACGATTATGCATTGTTATTTTATCGAGACTGCGGCCATCCGCATCGTGCACGACACGAAGCATGCACCCGGGGTCTCTCGCAGAGCCCGTGCATCACCCCACGGTCGACAAGGACGGGTGTCAGGGCAGCTTTTGAAATCGTGCTCTTGTCCGCACTAGGGGGCAGCGCATTCCCAACCACCCCCGCTACGCAAGCATGGTCATTGCATGGCGGTCAAATTTAGCCAAGTAAAATTAAAACGCCAAACTTGATGTGTTGGCTCTTTGTGCAGTCCCCCTGCTGTTCTGGATTCGCTCTTCTTAAGAACGCGGTTTCATGACGGGTAGCTTCCTGGAGTCAAACCTACGTCTCAAAAATTTCTGCTGAGCACCTGAGATAATTCCCTTTTCACAGGCGGGCAAATGTGCCTGTTTGTTAAGGGGAGTGTTGGGCAGCAGTGGCACCGTGGTTAGCATAACACTGACCAACATGTCCCAACATATCTTTGTTACATTGCTGGTCATAGGACTCTTCACCAGTGGCAATTGGCATCAGAGCCTGGGCCCGAATGTTCCCTCGATGTCGACTCGGCCTGAAATGAACATCCTGGTGTACTGTGATGTCATTGGTCAACAACATTGGGAAGACAATGGTGGCCGGGCGCATGTGGGCTCCTCACCCCAAATAGGTTATCACCACTTAATGTCATTTGTCTCTGAAGCTAAAGTGAGATGTGTGTTTTGATTGCCATGTTTGCACTTCGTTTAACGGTTATAATGAGATTCCCTTTATTTAACAGGGCGAGTGTCTCTTGAGATTCATTGTTTGCAATGGATGGTTGAGCTTGTGCAACATAATTTCATTTCACGACATACTATATGCACCCCTAACACAGGCGCACACACAAAACAAATCACAGTTGAAAGTGTCTCTCTGTACTATATCCAATGGAGCAGCTCTCTTGTCCATTGGCTACCTAAAGCTGCGGTTGAAGTGCCACGGAACGATGGTGGGAGCCGGTCTCTCCGTATAACGAACGTGCAAAATAAACCGTACCATCTGAAGCATTGTATTATTGTGCAACCGATGACGTTTCTGGATTTATTTTTTATGCTACAGTGAGGGTGTCATTTTAAAAGATAAAACATATAAATATTTTACCCCCCCCCCCCAATATTGAATTCCCTAAAATAGACACGGCCAACCCAAAACGTGTTTATTGCTCAATGTTTATATTGGCTTTAAGTGTCACAATGTGTCTTGTATATTTGCGTGGCTGTGCACATAGTTGTTTACTGGCAGATTTCTTTGGGTTATGTTTTATTTATGCTTTTGAAACATCTTGAAATGCTGTCAGCGGCGTTTTCGAGAATTCTTCCTCTGATTTATAAGTTGCTGATGGGTTTGTCCATCCGTCCATGCAATCCGTCCATGTGTTCGGTGAGAGGTCAAAATGAGGTCGGCAGATGATTGGCTGCTGTCACTACATTGTCAATGGCAGTACCCATGCAATTAAAACAATGGAGTAAGAACTGCGGAAATACTTGGCAGGGCTTTTACATGTATGTATATATAAATGTGTGACGTGCATCTGTGGAATTTTACATTGCCTCTGGCCAATCCAAGCCAGATAGAGGCATTGAGTAATGTTAATAGTTACGCTAATGGAATAGCGTTGGTGTGGGTACGATTCAAACCATGAAATTTGATTTCACTGTTTACATTGTGAGCGAGAGCAGTGGTGCAGTGGTTAGCGCGCTTCGCTATGAACCCAGCGACCTGAGTTTGATTTCCGGCCATTGGCTAATAGCAATGTCAAGTAATGTCTGAACCGGTCCCGAACACACTCCCCCACCACCTTCACCAATGTGTACTGACCAGTGTGGTGAAGTATGGTCAAACAACCACCATGACTGACAACGGCATGCGGAAGGCCTTAATTCAGCCGGCGATTATCCAAGAACGGTGGATCGACTCAAATTCATCATCCCACCGGACTGGAATGTGGAATTTCTGTGGCTCCCTGGCCACTGAACAAAGTTTACAATCTCCCTGCTATTCGTTTGACCATGGACACATTTTAAGAACTAACACAGCGATTTGTGCTCCCGATGGGGTTCAATTCCAGCCGAGTGTGGCTGGATCGGCAGCCCGAGAAGTTAATTTCCACAACCGGCACGCCGCAACCAGTATTCACCTCTGGCCACTGTCGTGTGCACCAACAGCGTGCGCCTCATCCTGAGTCTACCAGCAAACCAGGAAATATTCATCGATACACCCTGCCTGTAGATTGTACATCCGCGCCTTGCGGCTCTGTTTTGACGAGGTTTGTTGTTCCTCCTCTTTCCCCACTCCCCGCCCACCACCCGACCCCCTCCCCCCGACTCTTCCTCGCCGTTCGCAGGACGTGGGGCTCGTGGGTGGAGAGCGACGGGAATAAGTACGGCTCAATGAAGTATGAGCATGGCATGTCGTGCTGGCAGGGGCCCAACCGCTCCACCAAGGTTAGTGGCGGAGTGTTCCCGTGCTGTCCCCCCCACACCCCTCGCCCCCCCCCCCGCCCTCAATGGCAACTGCTACGAACTTTACATTTTTTTGTTTTAAGTTTACGAGGTAAGGCCCACCGAGCTGTTTTGCTCTCAGAGGCGACCTGGCCACAAATGATAATAGCTCGGCGTAGTGGCTTGTCACGTGGAAATTTATAGCAGCCAAATACTCTTGAACGCGTGTTTCTAAATGTGGAGGGGAAAAAACGGAGGACCCAGAGACAAATCCACACGAGCACGGGAAGAGAGAACACTCCAAAATACAGGCGTCATGGTCGAGATCAAATCCACGAACGCCTGTATATCAGACGAGGGAAGAACATGCAAACTCCAAATATACAGGCGTCATGGTCGAGATCGAATCCATGAACTCCTGTATATCAGGCGAGGGAAGAACATGCAAACTTCAAAATACAGGCGTCATGGTCGAGATCGAACCCACGAGCTCCTGTATATCAGACGAGGGAAGAACATGCAAACTCCAAATATACAGGCGTCATGGTCGAGATCGAATCCATGAACTCCTGTATATCAGGCGAGGGAAGAACATGCAAACTTCAAAATACAGGCGTCATGGTCGAGATCGAACCCACGAGCTCCTGTATATCAGGCGAAGTAGTTAACATGTCGCCTCGGTGGCACCATACATTCAATGTTTGTATATATGTTCAACTTTTATGCACCGTACGTAGCCAACCATGCTTATCGGAGGTGCGGGGGGAAGGACAACAACACTAAACACAAAATGCAGTTATACAGAAATGAAACTGCCTTTGTTAATTGTACAGGATTCCTTAAGGACCCTATACTCGTCCTCTTCAATGTGTTTGTTTTTTGTTCATGTTGTTTCTCTGCTCTCACGGGACCGCGGATCTCCCGTGTACAATCACCGGGCAACTGGCTAACTGGGATCATCATCCCTGTCACAAATATAAATACTCAAATGATGGCCAACTGGGAAATTGAATGAGTGGCCTTCAGAGTTTGCATTGCTAAAAGGATTGTATCTTGTGCTCAACAACAACAATCCTTCCCACAATGCAATGTGCCAGTAACATTTTATAATTGTACTTGGTAGTATCGATTCGTTTGTTTAATAATATTTTTGGTTTTTTGAAGGGGTTGTTTGTGACCCAAGAGCTTTCTAATAGGCAACTACTCATCAATTTAAGAACCGGTGATCAGAAAATATTTGTAAAAATGTCATTTTCATCAGGCCCCATAATATAAATAAGTGCAGGCTCCAACTCTTATCCACTCTGTCTCTCTATTGGCCTCTGTATATTTTGCAAACGTCACCTATTTATTTTTCCTTTCAAGACCACACGCAGTGTTATTGACAAATGTGTTGAGATTCTGTCGTAATTTTTTTTTGCTTGTGCACCACTGCCAATGTGTAGTAGCAGCCCCACCAAGTAATTTGTTCGTTTTTCCAAGTTGGGTGGCGTAGCCATGAGTTTTGGAAAGGTTTCTCTACTATTGCCCACGTACTATCAATTGCAGCGCGGAAAAGACAAAGGATGTGCCTCCGCTAACGACACGTTCCAGAGGGTCCCTAAATAATGGTGGCGCGGTGGGATGAGCTTTTATCCATCATTCCCTTTTCCACAAATATCTGCTGTTGATGCGGGTGCACAGATAATGTTCGTGATGGATGAGACACACTTTTCACGGCTACAGAACGATAGCGCAGAGAGGAAGGGTTCAGTTCAGTTCATTTGCCTTTTACCAATACGGTTGAGAAGACTATATTGCCTTTGTAACGCCGCTCCATGCGACAGTTCCGAAAATGGTGTGTTTCCCCCCCGCCCCCCCCCCCCTTTCTTGACTGTGACATGATTATAATTTAATTGGGATTAAATAGACGATAAAATAACAAACTATGAAAGAGTGCAAAACAATAACGAGCAGCAGCAAAACATTAACAGCAGCAGTAGACAAAGTGCAGAACTTACCTGATTACTCACATTGATTACACATAGGAAAAGTGAGAAATACTGTTATACAAGAGTATCTTTTCTAGCCATTGTTTTAATCCATTGCAGAATGAGGGTCCCTCCCCCATACACCATGTCCGCTGGTTGGTGTTTGCTTAATCATACTTCACCACCCTGGTGACTATCGGTTGGTGAGATGGCGGTCCCAGCACCACCAATGAAGCTAATCCATGGCCGGGACTCAAACCCAGATCACTGGGTTCATGGCGCCGAACTCTCAGCACTGCGACACCACTGCCGAATATTTATACACATGTAACATGTTACGTGTGTGCACACGATTGCTGAAATAAGCGCCATTAACTTAAGATAATACGTTTTGCTAAATAAATTGAACAAATAAAATAAATGCGATTTTTTTTTTTTTTTAGCCACTTAAAACGAAGACATTTTTAATCCTCTTATTTTGAGCAAATGCGGTTAGGACAGAGCACATGAGAGAGCAAGAATACATTTTTTGCATTCACATAAAGTGGCGTACTATCTCCCACTTGTAATTGAAAACCCAGTGATTGATAGCGCGAGTTATGGACGGGTAATTCAAATAAAAATTAAGGGACCCAATTAATTAACGGAGACGCTCGAAGGCGAGAGAGGCAATCGTTGAGATGGACGACAGAAAAGTGAACGAAGGTGAACGGTTGAAGAGATGGAGAGGAGGGAGTGGGAAGGGAGGGAGCCGGGAGGGAGAGCGGGAGATGCAAGGACATAAAACAGACAGACGGAGGGAGATGGGGAACGACAGAGGCAGCCCTGCAGGGAGCTGCCCTTGCATTTAGCGGGAGAGTGGCAGCTAGAGAGGCCTTTCCTGCCTTCCTGCGCTCGGCGAGACGAGTCGGCGTGCTTCGTTTTGACGCGTGTCTCGGCGAACGTGACCCCCGGTGGCGGGCGGGTCCGTAGAAATAGAATGACCTGAATATGCCGAACAATAACGCGCGGTGAATAACCAAAAATGCCCTCGTTTTCTCTCAATAGCCGCCGTCCCCATTGCTCGGCGGTTTGGGGATGAACCCTGCCGCCAGGCGGCGTGACCCCCCGCAAACCCGAACGAGGTGTTCCCGTGGAGACGGCGTGATTTCTCATTTTTAGTCGTGTCTTTAAGTTTACTTATTTGATGGTGCGCGTGGCGGGAGGAGCTGTGGCTTTCGTAGGCTCGCACAACCCCCTTCAGACTCCCTAACCCCCCCACCCCTAAAGCCCCTTGCACCGCCACTCAGTGCCTTCGTGCCCTCCGGCGTGGCACGCTGCGGGGACGATCGCGGAAAACTCTCGCCAAGGAGGGCGACCCCAGTCTGCATGCCCCCCCCCCCCCCCCCTCCCAAGAGGTTTTTGTATCGATAGGAAGGCCGGATTGAAAAGTGTAGGGGGCTTCCCGTGGCATCTCTGTCCCTCACTGTGGTAGCTGCCCCAGCTCTCCGCTTTTCCGTGTAGCCACACCACCGGTCCGGTCGGTGGAAGCCCGTGCGTGACACTTCGGCGGCGGAGATCCGCAGGCGCTCCGGTTAATCCAGCGGTTGCCAGGGTCGGCCGGAGGTCCGACACTCCGCTGGCCTTGGCCGGCCTGCCCGGGTCTGGGCGCAGTCTGCCCGCGGGTGTGCGGGCGGGCGGGCGGGCGGGCGGGCGGGCTCGCGTGCGTGGCGTACGTCACACGTTCCCGAGGCCAGGAACCTAGCGTCCCGTCAGGGAACGAGAGGCGGCCTTCGGAGGGAGGCTTCAATTCGCTGTGCGGGGCCGTCTTTGCGGAGACTCAGAGCTGTAGGGCGCCATGCAAGCGCCGATTTAGCACGGTTGGCTATGTATGGCGCGACAGAAGTTCAATCTACATGCACGCTTTGGGGCCTACCTCCTAGTTCCCTTGCTGCCCACACTCGAGCGTGGTTACCCCCCGATCTTGCCCTGCCCATGTGCCCGCTGTCCAACCTCCCTCTGTGGTAGGCGCAGTCTGGAAAGAATGACGCCTGATGGCGAGTAGGCTTCAAAACCCATGGAATAGCGCAGGGACACAAAGCGTCAAACAGGGACACATGGACTCGCGTAGAGGCACACATAATTGACGCAGAGACGCAGTCTCACACTGAGACTTTGCTGACCTGGCCCTGCTGGATTTGCTGACCTGGCCCTGCTTGGACATCTGTGACTAAGAACTGCATATCTCATCGCATTCCAATAGTCTGAATAAAGACTCTGATAAATAACAATCGCATGTCAGGCCCGAGATCTAGCACAGAGCTCCAACACTGAGCTCCAGCCCTGAGCGCTCGCACTGGGCCCCAGCATGGACCCTGGTAGCAATTAGCTCCAACGTTTAGCTCCAGCATGAACCCCTCCAGTACTCAGTTGCACCACTGAGTCCGAGCAATGAGCTCCAGCATGGACCCCTCCAGTACTGAGCTCCCGCATGGGCTGCTCCACCACTGAGCTCTAGCAATGAGCTCTACCACTGAGCTCCTGCATGGACCGCTCCGGCACTGGGCTCTACAACGAGCTCCACTACGGAGCTCCAGCAATGAGCTCTAGCAATGAGCTCTAGCAATGAGCTCTAGCAATGAGCTCCAGCAATGAGCTCTAGCACTGAGCTCCTGCATGGACCCCTCCGGCACTGGGTAATACGACGAGCTCCACTACGGAGCTCCAGCAATGAGCTCTAGCAATGAGCTCTACCAATGAGCTCTACCACTGAGCTCCTGCATGGACCCCTCCGACACTGGGCTCTACAACGAGCTCCACTACGGAGCTCCAGCAATGAGCTCTAGAAATGAGCTCTAGCAATGAGCTCTAGCACTGATATTACCTGTCGCCCCTTTTCCCTACAACCAACTACTCAGCTTTCCTCCATTCAAAGTCTGAGCACTGATGTGTTTCTACTTTTTTTAATTTGATCGGTTTACTTAATTGTTTAAACCCATTTGTTTTACGCTATTTACGTTGCGAGTTTTGTTTCCGTGACTATATATAAACATG